CCACCCTCAGCTTTTGCTCCAGCTTTCTTAAACTAATAGGGAATGTCGGGAATTCGCGTTTTTGGGAATCCGATTCTAAAAATCTTCAAAGGGTGGGATCTCCCACACACTATATAAAAAATCCTTAAATCCGCCGGAAAATGTCAAGAAAAAACGCTTCCGGGCCTCAAAAAAAAAAATGGCAGAGCCACGCGAGGTTTGTAGGGGACATAAATATCGAGACTAAATTTCATAGAAGTGATTCAAAAAAGTGGTGGCCAAATTGACTTATTACCGGTTGACTATAAATAGCCATCCAATGGGACAGCGATTATCAATTACCCGGGTGGCGAATATCCTCGGCCGATAAATTTTCCTTAAATACCCATGAATTTTATCTATATGCAAATGTTTGATTAGGATGATGAACATTCTCTCCAGACAGTTGCCAAGCATGCCTTGAAACCCGCGCAAAGTATAAAACTCCAACTGCTAAAATCTTAAATTTCGGTCTTGAAAATCAAGAACCATTTTACATATTGATGAGTTACTTGCCCTTGAGAATGGCGGCAAAAAGTTAATAATAATGTAAATATTTTATATAAATTCTAATTACCAAAGAATTGTTGAATATTACTAGTCAAACATAACATTGCTGCTTTCAGAATAATCTTATTCAATAGCCGATAGGCTTGAATAGTCTTTAAAGTTTGTGTCAGCTAAGATTCCGAAGTGTTTATTTCTATCATCTGTACTTTGCTATTCTCTACATCAGCAGGGAAAATAGTCCTGAACATTATCAAGATATAAATAGAGCAACGATGTAACACTAACAGTGAGCTCAGAATTTAAATTCTTCTTTCATTTCACAAATTTTTAAGATGAAATTGTTAACCAATTTATAAAGACTATTTAGTCCAGTTTTAAAGACTAATGATGGGATAACTCAACAATGAATGAAAACACTGAAATTCTAAATTAATTTTTTTTTGTAGATCACCAAAATAGAAGACTACTTCCTTGAATGATTTGTACAATATCAAGAGTGATAAGAAAGATAATTCCTAGATTTGGGCGTAGAAAACCATTGGCATCAGAAGTACTATCATGTCATCTTAGGCAACGTCAACTGCCACATTGGACATCATTTTGTATTTATAGACAGACGGTTGTTAATGATCATTTTGGATTGTCACATTTTAATTGGACAGTAGACGGTGTCAATTATCACATTCTACGTACTGGTTGTTTTCCATTCGTTAAATATCACTGCACCAAACGTCCACACCAAGATTTAGTATTTGATGATACATTTTTTACTTGGTTAAAGTTTATGAATTTAGGTAAGTGCAACAAGGTTTAAGTTCTTTAGGAAAATAATACATACCAGGTATCCCTACTATATAGTCTATTTGAACTTTTCTGTTAATTAAATGAAATGAAAGTTACAGTCCAGTTAATTTTGATTGCACCATAAGCATACTGTTATAGATTATAAAATTAAGGGTATCCATAAATTACCAGATGAAAAATCTAGTTATCAATATGTATTATTTTGGGTTTTTTTTTTCAGGTTTACCCACATTAGCTTATGGAGTAGCATCTTGGATGTTAATTAGAATATCGGAAGATATCATTACCTCAAAAGGTGTTGTTAGAATATACTTCTTATTAAAAGAAGATAAAGGTGCAGTTAACTAATGCTCAAAGGGAAACAACTCCTTGAAGAATCAAAATGGTGCCACAAACATATGAATTAACTTTTTTCTCTTCAATAGTTCTAGTTTTGGTTCTATTTGTTTTAGTATTTTTGATTTTATCATCGTGTGTTCGATTTTTTAGATGGATTTTCGCTGTAATTTGGAATTTGATGGGAAATAATCAAAGAAAAGAAGAAGAAGAACTTTATACTAGACATGTTGAAGAAGTGAAAAAAACTAACATTAAAAAGGGAGAGTGAAAAGGATGCATAGAAATTATTTTTCTTAAAGATGGGTTTCGGAATTTTAATTCTTTCATATATATTGGAAGGCAGTTACGTATAGAAAGTAGAGTACAGGAATTTTCTTTAGCAATACCAGTTAATCTAAGAAAAATATGGCGACCCATCTTTAAATTGTGTGCCTATCCCCACTTTGTTAAGTTTGCACTTTGCCTTGATAATTGTGTCCATTTTAAGTTTTTCTTTATTATTCATAGATGTTAGAATTGTTTATTGGTTTAGTAGAATCAGTATGTAGTCATGATTAGTGCATCCATATTAGGAACATCCAAATAGCCAGATTAACACCTTTACTGAAAGCATACAATTTAATCAAAAGCTTCAGATGTTTTAGCTCATTGTTGATTTGCTTTTTGCATTTTGCTCTTCAATCAAAATGAATTTGAAGATCTATGTAGCATACAAGAAAAATACTTCAAACTTTTTTTAGCTCAAATTGAGATTTGTTATTTTACTGAATTTTTGTTTGAACCCCCATTGTAAACATTGTAAAGCCCAGTTGAGCTTCCACACAAGCCAAACATCAATATACTATCATTTTTTAAACAGAAGCAACATAGTGTGCTGTGGGGTAACTTGAAGATTTGTAGATTGTGTTCAATGCTACAAAATTGTTGGTTACTGTTTGTCGAATTAGCAAACTAATTTCTGCTTTTCAAAATGTCGAGTAGTTCGCTCACTGTATTAATAAATTATTAATTAAAATGTATGTACTAATTGTTTTATACAAATATGTAAATGGTGCTAATTATGAGATTATTTATTACTTAATTATATATCGACGTCAACCATGTCTGTCTGTCCCTCGGTCTGCAATATTTTTAGTAAACGTTAAAGCTGGCGCAATTCTTGACAGACTTTAACAAAACTTAGGATTAACCCTATTGAACAAAAATTCCAAAAATATTTTTATGGGTTATTGCCCTTGTTCTTAAAAACACTGAAGGCACAATTAAATAACTCAAGGTTGATCATCTTAATGTTCGTTCTTTTTTAACCAATGCTACCAGTGGGCGTATGTTACCTTGCCTGTCAAGTTATTTTTGTATCTCACCAGTCTGTTATTTTTAAAATGACAGTAGACTTTGGTATCAGGGATATTTTTTATTATATTTATTAAGTTCATAAAAAAAAAATTCTGAGGAATATGAAATAAAATATGAAACTTTCTGAATTTAGAAATATTCTAGAGTTTTGTTTTTACATTAAATTGCATTTCTTATAGACAACAGAACACACACTACGAACATTTTTATACCTTTCATCATCTTCTCTTGTGATCTCATTGACAATTAAAGTTATTAATTTCTTGTTGTATGAGTTGTTCTTTATGGTTCTTCAAAAAGAACTTAGTCATCTTATTTCTTTTTTTAGCTTACTACTTACTAGCTAATAGAGATCAGTCTAAAAATCAGGGTTGGACAAAACTAGTTAAAACCACCCAAAGTGGAAAAAACTGGTCAAAAGTTCAATTGTTATCACAGTAATATACTCTCATATGTTTTGTTTTTATCATGGTCATTGAATCTATAAATGACACTCATTGTATCATGAAGCTCTTCTGAGTCTGACAGTGACGAAAATGAACAGTGGGACTCTTACATAACACATGAGTTAGCTGTCAATTCGAATTTGAAAACTGTCCTTATTTACTGGTGTAAATACTTAAGAAGGCATCACTCTTGATTTTGGATTTTGCCATAACTTGGTTTAAGTGTTACATATCACTCCAGGATGAACCCTATTGAAAATCAGAAAAATAAAAAATATTTAGTATGAATTATTACCCTTGCTATTGAAAACGAGTTCAATTTTAGCTTGTAAACGCTTCAGAAGTCACAATTCTTGATAGATTTTGAAGTAACTTGGTGTGAGTACTCACACAATCACACAATGATTAACCTTATTGAAAATCAGAAAATATTTATGACCATTTAATATGCAGCTGGTTAAAAGGCTCAATTCTTGCCAAATTTTAAACAATTTGGTAATATTATTCAGTATCACCCAAAAAGTTCAAAAGAAGTGTATGACTGAAGGTTGAATATTTCATACTGGTGATTGTTACTGTACTGCTAAATATTTTTATTCAAAATCAAAGCTGCCAGTGGGTGTTTGTTACCTTGCCTGACGAGTTATCTTAGTATCTGTATGTAATTTTACTATGGATTATTATTATTATTCAAGTCTGCAGATTGATGTTATTTTCATTATACTATGTACATACTACAGATATGTAATTTCATTGTATAATATAACAATTATAACTTGGAAATTATTGTGTGTGATTAAATGCCTTGGATTAAAAAAAAAAAAAGTGTAAAATTTCAACAAAGTGTTGCATAAGTTACTTTTGACCACTTTTGTCCATTCAATGGGTTTTAGATGGGACGGTTTTAACCGGTCAAAACTGGCTGGTTAAAACCACCCTAACCCTAAAAATTCAGCTGTCAGTTTCACTGTTCTAAAAGTGATTATTTCAAGTTATCTGGTCTAATTAAATTAAAAGGAGAAGTCAATTTTAGAATTGATAACCATATCACTTTAGCTGGGCTGCTAAGATTGATAAATTGTACTGAAGTTATCAGCTTATTTTTTTTGTTCCTTTGATTCCATTGTCAATGATTATTAACATAAGATCTATAGTGGATGGCTATCTGAAATCTTGAAAAGTTCTCTTTGATGTTGATGTAAAATTTTATTCTAATGGAATCTCATGACACAAGAAAAGAAGCATGACTTGACTTTGCATTAGAAATAAATGTGAAAATTGTCAGCTTCAGGGAAATAAATAGCCAAACAAATAATGACTTTTAATATCACTAGGGAATTGAAACACTTTTCTGTATTCATAAATAATATTATTTGCATTACTTTGCATAAATTGAGCAATACACTTTTCACTATGGCGAAGAGATCTCAATTTTGACTGTCAATATCACATTCCAGGATCAAAATATGACATCCACCACCACTACAATTCAAGTTTAGTATAGCGTTACTACCAGGTCGTAATTGTAGTTAATTCAGATGATATTACCATCCAGTTTACTTTGATTAATTGTAAGGGAACAAAATGTCAGCTTTCTTTCAGTAAGTAAAACAAATATGTATATTTCTTTGTTGTATAAATGTTGCTGTTACATATTTATTTCATTGTCATAATATTATTACATTATCATTGGACCATCTGTTTTATCATCATATGTTATTGCATCACCATTGTGCACACCAGATCATACAGATTCATACCTGAGATATTAACAGTTTATCACAAAAATTTATATCAGGGTCGAACACTCTTTTTACAATTAATGGCTTTATGTCCCAAATTTTATCACCTAGCACAATTTGTTTATGGCTGCTTCATTGAGTAGATTCAAAATCAGACTCATATGACCTTGATCATACATCAGCACCGACCAGCATCAACAATATCTATACTATTTGTTTGCATTTCTCCCCTGCACCGCACTCTCACACAAGTAGCAAGCTCTTTATTTCTATTGTAGATAATCAAACCTCAGATTCAAATTGCATGTAGGAATTGCTTTTCGTATCTCTTGCTCCAGCAAAAGTAGCAATGCCTTTTCCCAACTGTATCTTGGAATTGCTTTCCACAGTGATGTCATTTCCTAATGAAATACTGTCATTGTAAATAATCAGACGTCAAAGTTCTGAGTTGCAGCTGGTAATTGCTTATCTTTTCCATTACACCTGCTCTCTCATAAGTAGCAAACTTGTCATTAACATATGAATAATGCTGAAACATCTCCCACCAATGGCTGACTTCCTATGTAAGTTATCACCTGCTACATCAGTTTACCATGACGAGTCATCAATTAAAGGATAACAAATTTGATATGAATTACTAAATCTAATGATGACAAGTAAGATTATGTGCTGAAGAACTGATTATTCATATTGGCATCAGGAATTAAATGTAAATGTAAGTTCAGTTTATGCTCTTTGGTATTTTTTTTGGTATAAAAGATGAGAGAACAGTTCAATTAAGGATAATTGTCAATAATTATGTCGTGTAACAGGTAGTTTTCTAGTCATTGGGTATTTTCACGTTGATAGTATAAGATCAATGGAACTCTTGGAACATTGTGTACTGAAATCCTTCCAGTTTCTGCCATTGATCAGATTGCTGTGTGAAATAGAAACAGGTTGGTGTGGGGTATTTGTTGTTGGTCACCTATGGATGAAGTTAATCAAATAATTACTGGAATAGTTTTGACTTTATATATGTATGGTTTATCCACCAACACATCTAATTTCAATAATTTCTGACAATTTTTATTCTTTTTGTTATTTAGCCTCTATTAACTTCAGTTTCCATTATTAGTTCAGAAAGTCAATACTTCTTTGGTGCCAGGAAAATGCCATCAGGTAATTATTTATCATTGTTTTTTTCATAACTCTTATGTACTTGTTTTGGATCTGAAGAACTTGGTGACATAAGACAATTTACAAAAATGGCTGGTCTGATAATTTAAATTTTTTGAATGATTCTCTTTACTGCTATATGCATTTCATACTTCATAATAGCTTCATTATTGAAAAATAAATTATTCTTGAAAAGATTTCTATATTATGCTATGTGAGGTTTTATAGCACAGTCGGTCAAAGGTTAGGTTGTTAATGACGTCATTTGCATTGTTAGGTCTAGCAAATGGGTTCTGACCTCTGTCTGAGTGTAAAAGTCCGATGACTTTGAATAAGTCATCTTCACTCATAATTTCAGTCAACCCAGTTGAAAATGTGTATGGATAATCCAGGAAAGATCAATGACAAGAGGTTTGATCAAGGACCAGCTGGTAGAAAGGATCCTTAACTGTGAACTGTGTAGTTGTTTTTTTCTTTGAATAAGCTACTTCTATGTATATACTTGATCAATCTGAATTTGTTTAATAGGCTTAAGGCCATGATTTGCCATTTTCGGTGGTTGATTTTGGCCCAGACTATATGCAAATAGTCTAAATCTTAAACTGCAAGAAAATCTCATAATCCTTTCAAATATACCTCAAACTTGATATTTCACTTTCTATTTCTTTATATGTATTTTCCAAATTTAATGGAGTCTTAAGAAACGACCGGTCATTATTTTAACTTTCAACACATATAATTCTGGACACACATAGATTTAAAGGATCAAATTTTGATGATGAGCTAAAAAATTCCCTCTAAGTTTTTAAACGAGGGTTCTCTTTGTTAAGTAAACTTTTTTTTAGTGTCAGGCATTAACAGCTTGATATTTGGAATAAGTAGGACCCACTTCTTTCAAATTTAGCATATCTTTTTCTTAAATCAGTATATAACCTTTCCCAGGCAAAACACTGTTTTGAAAACAGAGAAGTTTACTTAAACTTTTAAATAGCTTTGGCATTCTAAAGATAAGGACAGATTTTGGTCTATAGTTTTTATTAATCAAGCACCTAAGTTTTTCAACTTAACTACAAATTCAGACTGCACCCATTAAAGTAATCCTTTCATAACATATAGAAATAATACCATAGGAAATGTAATAACTGAAATAGAACAAACACAAATGACATAGAAAAGGATTATAAACAGCATAAATGAAAAAATACTGATTACGTTTTTAATTCCTAGTGGCTTCATTCATTTATTTATTGATCTGTGAGAAATAATCCATAACTTGTCCTCCACCGTTTAGTTAGATAGATTGCTCTCCAGTTCATTGTATGTTGTAAGAATCAATATCCATGTTGCCCAATATAACCCGATATTGATAGAATGGTTAAGAGACAAAATACCACCAGCTCTCCTTTCACTGATTTTAGTATTTGACTGTAGTGTAGTAACAGACGATGTAGGTATTATAGATTGTTTATATATATATCATCCGCAATGGCCATGTCCTTAAATACATTGTATTTAATATCAGTTAATGTGTCTGATGTTATAATAGGAGTTGAATGCTGATTTCCCCGTGGATGGAACCTTATATCAAATCATAACACAGATTTTACCAGTGAAACACGTTCAGGTCGACACATTTCTCAGATAGTGATATTTATTCTTATCAAATATTGATGAACAATTTATCAAGCGTGTTATGTTTTTTACAGTAACATCTAAATGGTGTAAAACAGTATCAGATTTTGAAATATAAATCAGTGTAAGAATATGGACAATATATTTTATATTTCATGATAATTTGGGTGAGTATTTTTTAAATTCAATTTCAATTTTTCATATTGTAAATCAAATTTCTCTACATTTTTAAAAATTTTTTTGGATTTAAAAAATCTTTAACTATTAGTTCAATCAAGGGGTTGTCAATCTTCTGAATTGTTCATCATGTCTGACTGAAACTCCAAAATGTCTGGGAAGCTGTTGTGACACCGTGAGTAAGATGCTGGCTCACAAACTTGTTGGTTCAGATCTCAATCTAGGCAAAGGGCTAGATAATAAACTACAAATTTTTCAACCTGGTTTCATCCTATCAGTGATGCAGGTCAGAAGATCTGACATAAGGCTGTGCAAGATCTTTCGACTGTTGGAAATCGAAGATCAAGAGTAATCATTTGCTGCTGTCCTGGCAAAATTTACTTCTTTTCACACTGCATAGTGTTTTCTCTCATAAGCCCAATCAGTTGCAAACGAATACGACAACTTTATGGCAAATTTCAACAAGATAGGGCCTAATATGAATTTATTCAAAAGAGAATCTTCTCGATGGAAAGCTTGAAGTTGGTACTGTAATTTAGATTTGTACTGTTATTTGTTACACAAAGAGAAGAAAAACCCATTTTACCCTGCAGTCATTTTTAATGACATTTTTTTGATTCATTAGTTGATGGTTAGATCACAAGTCAATGCACACATATTTCTTAGCAAAGAGTATTTTGATTTGATTTGAATCTATGATTTGTAACATAAATAAAAGTCTTTATTTACTTTATTTAGAAAACTTGGTCTTGATTGATATCTTACCATTGGGATTGTAAAGAGGTTTTATAAACATTTAATGTCTGTTAGCACCATTTATAGCTTCTATTTGCATATTTCAATTTTCCATTGGATGGTTGTTATAGTCCAATACCACTTAAACTAAGAGTTTAATGTCTTCTCAATTGCAAAACCTAACAATAAATAAGGGTCTTTGTGATAGTGATGTCCTAAATGCTTAGTTTTAGTGGAATTACAAGAAGCACTAAAGTCTGACTGAAAATTGGAATGTTGCTTATAGATTGGTGTCACATATACACAGAAAAAGTTTAGAAAAAAGTTTTATGTATAATCTGTTCTTGTCTCCTGATTTCAAGTTTTATGTTCAATTTAATCTACTCCAATCTCTGTACTTAATTTTATGTGCCATTTATTCCTGTCTCCTTACTAAAAGTTTTATGTGCATTCTGTTCTTATCTTATCTACTGTAAGTTTATGTTCAATCTGTTCCTTTCTCTTTACATAGTTTTTGCCATCTATTCCTATCTCCTGACTTGGCATTTTGTGTACAATCTGTTATTAGCCCCTATCTTAAAGTTTCATGTGCCATCTATTCCTATCTCCAGATTTAATTTTAAGTGCAATCTTTTTCTATCTCATGATGTTGAGGTTTTATGCACAATCTATTCCTATCTCATGACATGAAAAAAAGTTTTATCAGCAATTTATTTCTATCTTTTGACAATGTCTGATATGCAATCTGTTTTTCCATTTGAATTGGGTTTAAGGTTTGATTTCTATTTCATTGTGGTTTTCTGGATGCGATGAGCCCATTTAAGGATTCAACTAACTCTAATTAAAAAATTGATTGTCATGAAACATAATTTAAAACTAGGATTACACCTTATGATATATCGAAACAGATATTAATCAATGTTATTTTGTTGAAGTAAGATAGATATTATAAGCCTTGGTAACACAAATATTTATATTCTCTAATTGATGCATAACAAACTTTAAACATATAACCAGAAGTAAATATTAGTTTTTCTCCAAACCTTTGATTTTAAAATGTTTATGTTATGATAATAGCTTCACCAAATGTTTTGAAAGATTCAAATGATCAAGATATAGTTTCATATGGTATTAAAGAGAATGTCTTGTTAAATTCG